GGCGTTTTTCCATACTGACTTTTAAAAAGTAAATGGCGATCGAGCACATTAACATTACTACGTATGAGAAAACTACCGAAATCAGAGAAGAAAAGATAATCCAGTATAATGTAAACTCATTTTATCGCTCATGTATGTGGGTAGTATTAGCTTAGGTTATAATGAAAAAATAATCGAAGATAATGTTAAATTAACTTACACTTTTTATAGTGATGTTCAATTTGCTATCAAATGTGAAAGAGCAGCAAAAATGAGATCATTGGAAAGATAATAAGGCTATAATTTTTTGTCTACAATGAAGTAGTATGATAAAATGTATTTTGTATATAAATTCTCTTTAAATTAGTAACAGCTATATTTATTTATTAATTAGTAGGCTTGAATAAGCGTAAAAAATGAGTAAACAAACGGGGGTATCTCGTAAACTTTGTATCACGATGACATCGTTAGGAAAAGCTTTCTTCTTATGATCACGAGTGCTATGGTAAGTCAATATGCCTATTATTTGTTACTGTTTTTTCAGAAAAGTATTTCGAGGTTTCAGAAATCGAAATCGATTACATTATATGGCACAATAAGTCTGTGTACTAGAAATTTTTCATCTTACACTCTGGCGCTTTCCAACAGTCTGCAATTTCAAAAATCCAACTTTTCTTTTCTTTCTCTTAGCTTTGTGTTTTTTCGATTTATTTTCCTCATTTATATAGCGAGAAACATAAGCATTTTGTCACTGCCACCACTATGACTTTCATACATAATATTCATGTATGTTGATTCTCAAATCTCTGTGTCAACGACAATCGTAGAATAAATATTAGTTTTTCTTTTACAATAGTTGTAAAAGCTCACTTATGCCTGTTTTGCTTTTTAATTTATCTTTTTTCTCGTCCATCACCAATAGAAAAAAAATCCTGTATTCCTTTACTTTTATGTGATCGTATGTGCTACAATTTCTGTTAGATTACTACATGTGAGAATGTTTTTCTGCTATTAACAATGAATTTGTTGAAGAAATATTTATCTGATACTGTGTTCAATGAAGAACACGAGGAGAGACTAGAATCAGTGGTATTTCATCGGGAAACAATAACAGGTGTTCTGTCGGTCCATACTGCGTGTAGAATGGGCATTCTACATTGTTGTGAGTTAAATTCATCATTTTGCAGTGTGAAAACCGAAAATGTTTTACGTTATTTGTGACAACACCAGTACTTAAGTTGATCTTATTAACTTCGCACATAAGTATCTTAAAAGACTGACTTTATTATAGAGTATTTTGAACAGAAGAAAATGTCACATCAGACTGCGATACGAACAGATGAACTTCATGGCCAAGTGATTGAAGTTCAAGATATTGTGGAAAAAAATATTGGACATATGCTGATATTGCGTGATGAAGAGCTTGAAAAGCTTCAAAAACAATCAGAATGTTTGAATAAACAAGCACATATATTTGCCGAAAATTCAAAATTATTAGAACACAAAATGTCATGGAAAAATTATAAAAAAGTATGGATTATTGCGATTATGATACTTATCCTCCTAATCATTTTCATCATTATTAGTATAACATTAGCAAGTAGATGAACGCAACCTTTCCTGAAGCCGTTCAACTATAAATAGTCGATTTAGCTTATAAACTAAAATGCTTTGCTTCTTGCTTTTGCTTAGGTAGAACCTTTTTATAGTTTAACGTACCTGAATTTGCAGGCTAATTGTTAATACCAAATAATACTAAAAATATATGACTATAATGAAAAATATATGATTTTTTACACCACATTCTTTTTTCTAACGTGTAGTTATCAATATATTATATAAGATCATTTGGAAATCTGACAAAAATTTATAATAACCGTTGTTCAAGAATCTTATAAGATTTCACAAGATTTTTCTTACAACAAGATCTTGAAAAATTCTGAGATCAGAACTTGTATTAGCTTGCAGGGACTCACTAGATCCTACAAGGATTCATATGATCTCTTATGAAATGCACCTGAAGAACCGAACCACTGATGCATCTGCCTTTTACTATTATTTTCGTCTATCTTTATTTTTCTTTTATCAATATTTTCTAGTAGAGGTAGGATCCGGACGTTCTAGAATCGTATCTAATCACGCTCCTAAGTCATGTAGTTTATTTTGTGCTCAGCTGAACTCTGAAGTTAAACAAAAAAAATTTTCAAGTTTATTTATCAGAACGACGTCAAAATATATTTAAATATACATATCGTAGCAAAATTTTTGTGGTCTAGTAAACACTTTTTGCAAGATCTAATAAAAAGATACAACAAGATTTCATACGTTTTGTAAGATCCGATAACAAGAAATATACATGCAACTTGTTTCTATTGATGGATCCTAGAGACGACCTGGTATCGTCTGCTAGGTGCTGTGCATCAGTACCATCATGGTATGGTAGACTGGCTGCTTCCACATTGAGAAGACAAGAAAACTAAGAAAAAATCTTTTATAGCACGACATGTTGCAGATCTGCACAAATTCCGCTCTCATGACAGATTTAATGTGGAAAAAGTGAACAACTTCGAGTTTACTTATCTCGTGAACCATTGTCTCTCGAAAAGCTCCATTGGACAGAATAATTCGAATACTACAAGAATTACTACAATTTCCGCTGAACTGAGTCATGATGTATTAACCTAAATCGTGTATATTTAACTGAATTGTACGTAAATCAGTCAGATAATAATGGAAACTAAATTTGACAACTAATCAAAGCAGAACAGATTTTGACTCCTGGGTTATTTTTTCGAGAACGGAATACGTTTACATGGACCTTATCCGAATTGTTCAAGAGTAACAGGACTAGTGCAACTGGCGCTCCTGATGCCGAATATCACCTTTTTTAAAACAATGGCCTTCTATACATGGTGGCCTTCTACACCTAA